GGCCTTCTTTGACTCTGAGTATTGGTGAGTTTGTTGGTGTAGGACCGAACACTAGCTTCGTTTTTATGTGCTGTGAAATACATAATGTGTCTGGTTTCAACTCCTGCCGAATCTAACACAGTGCACGCAGTTGCCCTAACACAATGATTTGTATAAATTGTCAACAGATTTGCTGCTATCGAAATCTCTTTCATTATGGATCCCAATTTATTTTCACACAGGGGTGAATTACAACACCAGACTGTGTCAGTTGATGTTACATTTACACGGGGCCTCTGAAACAACGCATTTTACCCAGGGTGCAATTTGGATAAATACATTTAAAATGCTGTAACGGGACAATTTTCGCCAACGGTAGCATACATTTTAGCCTGTGTTTCGAAACCGTCGTCAGGGTGATTTTTACATTTTGCATTCTACATACCGGGTTTCGTTGTAGCTTTCTTGAATGCGATAGCTATATTTTGTCAAAATTCGAAATCCCTCCTGACCCCTGCGGTCAAAATGAAAGGTCAAATCAAACCGAATTTTACGTAACAGACTCAGCGGGCCGCTAGTTGACCTCACCCCACTGAACGTTAACTTACTCAAGTCGAGGTGGTAATTGGGGTTTTATGACAAATTTTATCCAGTCCGTCTGCCCTGAGCTGTTTTATTAACGCAGTGAAGATGTTGTTGGCAGCTTTGAACTCTGTGTCGTGGATTATATTGATATTTCGGTGGCATGGTGGTACCGAGTTGAGGTACCGATTGATGGCTGCACGCATTCCCGATAGGCTTGATTTGGAGTACTGCATCCCCATGCTTCTAGCTTCGGCGTAGAAACGGGGTAATATAGCCGCTATTTCATCAGGTGGGAGAAATTCAAAATTCGTTTTTCGCGATCAGCCATGCTGGGGAAAAATGAAATGAACGGTTTATTTAAAATGATGTCCCAACCAATCACAATGATGCGTTAGTGGCAGTGATACAGTAGTATAATATAATTGTAATTATACGATGGTAATAGTAATAATGGCATTTTACTTGTACAAATGTTATTTTATTGTTCTTGAAGACGGATATGTTTGAAGATATGTGGATTAGATTAATGCTTTTGCTTTATTTCTTAGATGCCAGTGTTATTTGTAGATGGATAATTTTACTTTCAGAAAGATCACAGTATTTTAAAACATACCATGACAATTTTAGTTTAGATTATGTTGTTTGAGCGGTAGACAAAGAGGAAATTTATATTTACACCATGTAGACTATATTACTATATAGTTTGTGTGTATTATACAAGTCGACATTCAATGTCTGTGAAGGTAGGTGACAATTAATCAACATCTTGTTTCTCTTTTTCGTGATAACTATTCACTTAAATTGTTATCAAGCATTGTACTACTTTTTCTCATTCATTTAGAACGCTCAACGCTACCGAAATACAAACACGTGGGTTGTTATAAAGACGAAGGAAACAGAGCCATACCAACTCTAGAGGGTACCGATATACGACTTGATGGGGATTACTCGACTCGTTCAAATCCAATACAAAAATGTGCCGAGGTAGCTAGAGATTTGGGTTATTCCATGTTCGCAGTGCAGGACGGAGGGTGGTGTGCATCAAGCGCAAATGCAGAGAATACTTTTGCCATATATGGAGCTTCTTCGTTATGCAGCAATGGAGAAGGTGGAGCATGGGCAAACGATGTGTATAGACTGATAGATGAAGGTAGGAAAACAATCTTCGTGCATTTACAAATATTTGCAACTACTGTCATATTTGTAACTAGTCATGTTATACTGTTATAGTGGTTGACAACTTTGTGTGTTAATCACAGGCAGCAGCAGTGACATACTGTTGTGTAATATTTAAGTAATACCCACAATTCCAGAGGCGAGTATGGCACGTGATTTGGACCAGTTTTACGATATATACACATGAGCGATAACGAGTGTGTTTATGGAGTGAATATCCCATTATTCCCATTATTCAGATGGACATCGTCTGAAACGCTCTATTCACAACCGTTGTTAAATGAAAGTGGCCCTGGAACTAGCATACGGTGGCAATTGATACATCCAGCAGTGTAGCAAATTCGCATTTATATTTCGACGAGGTTATTCGGGTAGTTTCTCGTTAGTGGCGACGTTGACACATGTAAACTCGTTTCAAGTGACA